GCAACGAGAATAAAACAGTGAAGGTGCCAGGACCGTGTCCTGCGTTACCCAACCCGTTACTCTGCTCAAGCTAAAAGTTTTTCTGTTTACTATCAATCTCCGAACTGCTTCCTATATGTGTTAATGAGCGTTTCTCTAAACAGCCTATACAGTTTTTGCAGAATTAACCGGATATCACTCAATTTTTGTCTTTGCAAAAATCAAGATATATAAGGTCTGAATTTCTGTTTTCTTTCGATGCATCTGTGATTTGGTCGTAGTGGCCTATTCTTTACGACAGGCAGAATCTACTAGCTCTTAAATCCATGCTGACTTAGTTTGTGAAGCTCTATGTTTTTCATAAAACTTCAGAGCCCCGTAACTTTTATAAAACCGATAACAAGATCAGTTTTAATTAATTACAACTGTTAACATAATATAATTCTTCGTTGCTCTGCTACCTCCTTTTTTTTCTTCTTCATATAATTTGAATACCTTTGATATACCTTTGAAGAGTTTCGAGAATTTATCTACTCTCTGAGCCCGGCCATGGGCCAGGCTCGTCTGGTGCTTGCCGGGTGAACCAGGCTGTTGCTGCTGGAGGCCCGCTGCCCCACATATTCATCACAGCCTGGTTGATCTGGCACATGGTGAAGATACTTGTCCAGTTTCCTCTTGAAGACTTCTACACTTGTTCCAGCCATGTTTCTGATATCTTCTGGTAAAATGTTGAATAGTCTAGGACCCTGGATGTTGATACACTGTTCTCTTATTGTTCCCACAACACCCCTGCTCCTCACTGGGTTTATTTTACACTTCCTCCCATATCTCTCACTCCAGTATGTTGTTATGGCAGTGTGCAGATTTGGGACTAGGCCCTTGAATGTTTTCCAGGTATATATTATCATGTGACGAATGGTTTTAAAAACCGACAAGTTGAAGAACTGAAACACTTATGCAACATATGGGAATCTTTACTGAAGAAACGTTTCGCCACACAGTGGCTTCATCAGTCCAGTACAAAGTAGAAATGGGTAAGGAGAGGAGGAGATTGAAGTAATCAGTCCATCAGCCTGGAATCGGTGTGTTCAGTCCATCATTCTTGTGGGAAGTACAGCATAGGACCAGAGAGGTGGCTTATATACTGCAGTCAGGAGAATCGAAGCAGGAGGAGGCGGGATCACAGTGGGACCTGCCACTAGTGTAAGTAGGTCGTCGTCCAAAGGTTGGACAAGCATAGAAGAAGTCTTTGTACCAAGATCCCATGATGCTGCAGTGTCTGACAGATGTGATGAATGGTTTTGAAAACCGACAAGTTGAAGAACTGAGACACTTATGCAACATATGAGAATCTTTATTGAAGAAACGTTTCGCCACACAGTGGCTTCATTATATTATCATGCATCTCTCTCTTCTCCGCTCCAATGAATACATGTTCAAGACTTGCAGGCGTTCCCAGTAGTTTAGGTGCTTTACAGGCTCAATGGGAGCCGTAAACGATCTCTGTATTTGTTCCAGCTCCGATATTTCTCCTGCTTTGAACGGGGCCGTCAGCACTGAGCAATGTTCTAAGTGAGGGAGCACTAGCGATCTGAAGTGTCACCATCGGCATTATTTCCCTTGTTTTGAAAGTTCTCAATACCCACCCCGTTGTTAGGTAAGACACATACAACAGTTAGGTATCTTTATTTCGAAACGTTTCGCCCACACAGTAGGATTCTTCAGTCAAGTACAGAAAAGTTGATAGAAGCAGATGAGACTTGAAGACGATGTAATCAGTCCATCACCCTTGAAGTTGTGAGGTGATCAGTCCTTCAGTCTGGAGAAGAGTATTGTTCCATAGTCTGAAACAATATGGAGTTGAAGTGACAGGATGGAGCCTTATATACCGCCAGGAGGTGAGATGTAGGCCACTAGTAGAGGTAAGAATGTAGTCGTTGGGAGGTCACGTCCCTCTCAAATCCAGCCATTCTCACTAGTAGAAGTTGTCCAAGTTTTCTGTTCTGTACCAAAATACCATTGTGTTACAGTGTCTGACAGAGTGAATATTAAAATGGTATAAAATACCAACAGGTTATTAGGTAAGACACATGCAACAGTTACGTATCTTTATTTCGAAACGTTTCGACGATACCTCCCAACGACTACATTCTTACCTCTACTAGTGGCCTACATCTCACCTCCTGGCAGTATATAAGGCTCCATCCTGTCGCTTCAACTCCATATTGTTTCAGACTATGGAACAATACTCTTCTCCAGACTGAGGGACTGATCACCTCACAACTCCAAGGGTGATGGACTGATTACATCAAGTCTCTTCTGCTTCTATCAACTTTTCTGTACTCGACTGAAGAAGCCTACTGTGCAGGCGAAACGTTTCGAAATAAAGATACCTAACTGTTGCATATGTGTCTTACCTAACAACCTGTCGGTATTTTATACCATTTTAATATTCACCCACCCCGTCATCTTCCTGGCTGTCGTGATTTTTGTCTTGTTATGGTCTTTAAAAGAAAGGTCCTCTGATATAATTATTCCCAGGCCTTTTACGTGTTCTTTACGTTCTATTTGGTGACCCTCTTGAGTTTTGTATAGTGTTCCTTTTGAGTTCTACATTCTTTCCATACCTAATCACCTGGAATTTGTCACCACTGAACGTCATGTTGCTCTCCGCTGCCCACTGGAAAACCCTGTTATGTCTTCCTGTACTTTTTCAGTGTCCTCTACCGTAGTGACTTTCATGCTTATTTTAGTGTCATCTGTAAATGATGATACAAAAGTGTGCCGGGTGTTTTTGTCTATGTTATGAGGATGAGGAACAGCAGAGGTGCCAGGACAGTACCTTGGGGCACGGAGCTTTTGACCTCGCTGATGCTGGATCTTGCCCTGTTCACTACTACTTTTTATGTTGTGTGTGTTAGGAAACCGAAAATCCATCTGCCTATCTTCCCCGTAATGCCCATGGCTTTCATTTTGTGCGCTATCACTCCATAATAATAATAATAATAATAATAATAATAATAATAATAATAATAATAATAATAATAATAATAATCTTTATTTACTACAAGTACATGTACATGGTATACAGTCCTAGCTGACAACAATGACATACTACTACACAGAAAGCCACTTGTTATGCTGAGCATCTCGGGCAAATTAGGTCAGTGTCCCAGGATGCGACCCACACCAGTCGACTAACACCCAGGTACCCATTTTACTGATGGGGAACATAGACAACAGGTGGAAAGAAACACGCCCAATGTTTCTACTCTGGCTGGGAATCGAACCCAGGCCCTCGCCGTGTGAAGCAAGAGCGTTAACCACCAGGCCACCAGAGCCGTATTTGTCAAACGCCTTTGCAAAATCTGTGTAAATCACATCTGCATTTTGGTCGTCTTCCAACGCCTCCGTAGTTGTCATAATGGTTCAGCAGCTGTGACAGACATGATCGTCCTGCTCTAAAACCATGCTGGTTCGGGTTATGTTGGTTGTGCTGCTCCATGAAATTTGTAACCTGCCGTCTCATCACTCTTTCGAAGATTTTTATGATGTGCGAGGTTATGGCTACTGATCTGTAATTTTTAGCTAGTGCTCTACTACCTCCCTTATGCAAAGGAGCTATGTCTGCACTCTTTAAGGCCTCCGGTACTTCACCTAGATCACTCTTTCTTCAAAGAATACTGAGGGCTCGTGCTAGTGGTTACTTTGCACTTCTTTATAAACAGCATTCCATGAATCTGGTCCAGGTGCTGAGTGCGTGGGCATGTTTTCCATTTCTTTCTCGAAATCTATGGGATTTGTACTAATGTCAATTAGTTGGTCTGCGCGGCCTTCTTACGGAGTGAAAAATATTTCTGTATTTTCTACCTTGCTGTCATTTAGTGGATTGCTAAACACCGACTCATACTGTTTTTGCGTAGGAATAGAAATATTTTGGGTTTCTTGCAGTATCTTGTATGGCCCTTTGTTCCCTTTGTACTTCTTCTGTGAGGTATGACATCCTAAGATTTTGCTCTAATTCAGTAATCTATCGGCTAAGTCTATCTTTCCTTTGTTGTAGCATAGTTGCGTTTTTAAGCAATTCAGTAACCCGTTTTCTTCTTCTGTACTCTCTATCTGATCTTCTGGGTTTCCTCAATGGTAAGTGCTTCATACATACCTTGTATGCTTCTGTATTAAGCTTCTATAGGCACTGGTGGGGATTTAGGGTGTTCATGTCTGATTGCCAGGGTATGTCTACCTGGAGGGCATTCCGGGGATCAACGCCCCCGCGGCCCGGTCCACGACCAGGCCTCCCGGTGGATCAGGGCCTGATCAACGAGGTTGTTACTGCTGGCCGCACGCAATGCAACGTACGAACCACAGCCCGGCTGATCCGGCACCGTCTTTAGGTATCTGTCCAGCTCCCTCTGATAGCTCTTGGTTTATTATTTCCCAGTCAATTCTATGGTTGTTAAAATTAAACTTACTGAACATCCCGTCTCTAACATTAGTGATGCAGTTTCCTAACCCTGAGTTAATACTCGTTTGAACTTCTATGATGTTATGATCACGTAGAGTATATTGCTTTTGTAACTGTTATGTCTCTGATCAGTTCCTCGTTGTTTGTGAATATCAAATCCAGGGTATTTTCATTTTTAGTGGGATCAATTACCTGTTGGTTTAATGAGTACTTTTCACAAAGCCTCATTAGTTCCCTGATATGTGCCTGTTGAGCAAGGGTGCTTCCCGAAGATATTTCTGGTATAACATATGCTGCCTTAGAGAAGCACTCATGTGCTAACAAGGCTTCCGCACTATTTTGTAAATCATTACGATAAATGATACTAAATTTGATAACGTATTCGGTCACATAGGAAATAATCCATAAATGAACGTGCGAAAGAAAATTATATAGCAATGAAGAAATTATAAACTTTAAAGAGTACTTGGCTTTAACAGACATTTGGTGCTCTATACCATAAAAAGAAACTGGTCACTGAACTCACTTGAACAAATGAATACAAAACCCAACTGACCTGGGTATGAGGAGGTTCTTGGTAGATTTGGTGTGTCGTCGCAGGGTGTTGGTGGCCCTGGGTGAGTGTACAGGGGAGCCTGGGGAGGTGACCAGCCCCAGGGGAGAGCCAGGGGAGGCAGGGTGGGCATTGTGCTGCAGACCTGGGCTTGCGGTGGGCGTGGTGGTGGGCGGGGTGGTAGGCGAGAGTGGGGAGACTGGTGAGCTACCGCCTGACGCTGACAAGGGCCGGGCATTCTCTTTCTGCGACACATTGTTTTCCCGCACATATGTCTGCAATGAAACATCAAAACATGAGCAGATATATAGTGCCACAACACGGTTAACATGAGCATACAGGGGCACATAAACAATAATAGTTAAACACGCACAAATGTTTTCAAGGTTCAAGTCAACAGAAAACGCAGAAAAGCTATTATTATTATTTATATATATAAAAAAAACACTACAGACGAGCTTCTAAAAAAGAACAACATGAAATTATAAGCAACCTCACAAATGTGATAAAAACTAACGATGTTTACGATTTTGATCTGATACAATTATGGGTACTTCCCGTGAATACATAAATTAATGGGACTATTAGCTTAATGCACCATAACATATGTTGTGTACAAATGGTATCCCTTATGATATATATCACAGTCAGATGGGTCAAGAAGTAACAGCTGATGCGTTAATGGAAATGTCTGGGTCCTACCTTCTGGATCTGCACAGGGTAAGCTTGCAAAGAGTGGAATTCATAAACAGCAAAACTATCATTGAAAACACTACCTCACATGGGCGACCAATCTTGAGTCAGCAGAACCAGTGTAGAACCGTAACCTAGTAAAATATAGTGAAACTTGAGAAAGTACAAAGAAAAGAAGTACTGAGAAGAATGAGTTACGAAGAATGAGAGAACGAGACCTGGTTGCCAGGGCAGGACAACCCACGAAACATGTCATAGGTAATTATGTCTCCGGTGGCATTTTTTATTATTTAACTGCTGATGTATCCTGCTTTTAAAAAATATCAGCGAAGGCATACCTATGAGCCATTTCGATGGTTGTCCTACCCTGGCAGCCAGCCCTAAGGCCAGGCTTCCCTGTTCAATGTTCAGAAACTGATGTTGGATACCTCGTTCCAAGAATTGAAAATTAAATATTAAAGAGTTAGCTCACTTCAGCTTGTCAAAAACTGGGCCGGGACCTGAAGCAGAATCTCAATTGCTGAAACTCAGCTAAATAGACAGGAAAATACAAACATGCGCGCGCTCAAGCAGTGAGGAACCCAAGCTGTCTGCACCATTCATAACAACGCTATACTTACTTACTGTGGCATTGAAATCTCCACCTTCTATCACAACATGCCCTCACCTGCTAAAACACCTGTTATCTGTTATCTTCTAATAGTTCTTAGAATATCGTCCCCAGCGGCCCGATTTCAGTACCGAGATTCCTAAATTTAAGTGCAAATATATCAGGAATAAAAGTTAATTAAGAAACACAGAAAAGTGAAGATGTGTGTGTAGTGAATTTTAAAAAATTTAACATATAGCTACCTGCCATTTAACATAACGAAACTGAAAAGACCAGCAATGCAGAGAAACTTCAAAAACTTTAAGAGGCTTCCGTTTTACATTCGTACTTCCCTGGACAGTTACTGTCCACCAGCCTGAACACGCTACTCAATTCTTATTAGCGACTGAGTCACTATGCCCTAATATGTAATTACGTATCATGCCCTCCTGGGTAATCACCATTTATACCACGTAGGCCTAGTTTTTCACAGCTATGTAAGAATTTCATAACCCAGGCGTTGGGCTACATGCTTACGCATTCCCACAGAAACCCTGCCATTCACAACCTCATATTAGGCATATGCCAGTCCTGCCTCACGAAATGAGTCCTCAAAAAATTTTACCCTCCTAAATTTTACTCTTACCTATTTCGACTTTCAGATTTGTTGGAGCTTCTTAAAGCTGGCAGCTTAAGGCTTCAGGAGGTTAAGTTTGACTCTGTGATTAACAGTCTACAGAAGTGGATATGAAGTTGTTGGACTCGATGACGTTCATAATGATCTTTGCCGATATCCATAAAAATATTAAAAAAGAAACCATACCACGGGGGGGGGATAGAACCCGCGATCAGAGAGTCTCAAAACTCCAGACCCTCGCGTTAGCCACAATAAGATTCATCCAACTAGGTATATTTCTACACCATAGGAAGGTTAGCACAGGCACCACTGTGATCACAAATGCAAGTTTTTACAGACGAATCTCCAGCTAGCGTGGCCGTGACGAACTCTAGCTCAAGTCCCCTCAAAGCCGTCAACAGGACGGCGTTTCGGCCGTCCTGGAGCACTGCTAACTTGATAATGGTCAAGGACGAAGCGAAACGTCATCCAGATTCATCATCAATCTGCGGATTTGTTCGAATTTGTTGAAGGCATGGTATTATTACTTTTGTTCGTCTTAAAAGAAGTGTGTTATGTTACCAATGGGAGATGCGAGATGAATATATATTGCCAAACTGGGTCTGGATGCGCTACCCACATCAACACTGTCCTCACTAAGCAGTAGTCAAGAACAGTGTTAGAGGCGGGTGGTGCCACCTGGCTCATTTGTTAACACTAGAACAAGCTCCAGGCGGTGTATGTTGACAAATATTTCCTCAAGTCTAACACGAAAAGAAGAAATCTGACTTTGAGAAATAATGAAATAACTAATGACTCCTCATACCACACACGTGACCTTCGTGTAATATATACTACAATATGACAATATAACAAATGTCTTGACTATTATACCATCTGTGTAATAACTAGCATTTTAAATTAACTATGGACATTTAAAATATTCTCGGCATTGTGACAAACTTAGGATTTTGGGCATTACTGTTTTGGCATAAAAAGACGTTGTTGGCATTCAAGATGCTACCCAGGAACAATTCTTAAGAGTCACCTTCCTTATATGAGAGATGAGGTTAGAGCAAATAAGCGAGGCCAGTTTGCCAAATACAGGGAAGGAGGTAGAGAGGACAAGCGCTACTTCCTTCACTGTATTCACCTAATTGTGCGTGCGGGGTTTGATTCCAAGCTCTTCGGCACAGTTCTGCTCTTCAACTGTAACTTACTCGCTGTCCTTTAGGGTTTTGTCACGTATCTTTTTTTTTTCAAATCCATTTATTGAACTGACCTCCAGTTATTATATACCTTCCTAATGCATTCCACTACTCATATTCTCACGAAGAAGCTATTAGTATCACTTGGGCTGAGTAATACCTCTAGTTTCCAGCTGTGTTTGCTCGTTTTGCTTTTTCCCATGTTTATTAGTGTCGCTATTAACTTTGTTTACATCTTTCAGAATCTTACAAGTTGTAATCACGCCTCCTCTGGTTTCCCGATCTTCCAATGACTCTGGTTATGTTATCATCGTATCCTAGCCCTTGTGTAATTTCTGCGCAGCGAACTCAATATCTGGTACCTGGCTGATGGCATTCTGGTAGGTTCCTGCTAGAGAACCTACAACTGGTGAAGTCACAGGGAAAATCCTTAGGACTCATTCTCAACCAATCCAAGTGTGAAATCATCACGAACAAACCAGGAAATAATTACAGCTGTGTGAACAATCCTTCCTGAAGCCTCAACTACACCCCGTCCAAGAGCATCCTATGGGAGCACCGCTGGATCACTAGGCCATCGACAGTCCTCAAGGACACACTGGATGACCTAAAGAGGATGGAGAAGAGAATAAGTGATCTCGATGCCCATGATGCCCTGTATCTCCTCACAGAGTGTCTAACTCTGCCAAGACTAACTTCTTGAGATGTACACCCTCCTTTGACAACTCCACACGTAGTGAACATGACACATTCCTGAGTTCTATCTTTAGGAAGGCATTAAATCTGTCACTGGTAGATCACCAATGGGATTAAGCAACTCTTCCACTGCGACTGGGCATCATAGGTGTGCGCAAGGTAAAGCAGGTACCATTACCTGCATTTGTCGTCCGTGTATGGCTTCCAATGAACTAGTAAAGAATACTGTCTCAGAACGCTGAAGAGGTGAGGTAGGAGCTCACAACCCAAAGTTCACCGAAGGACTCACGCAATGGGACAGCCTGGCAGACTCTTCAAGCAGACCAACTCCTCCTAGAGAGCACAAACATTCCCAGTGGGGGCAAACCGACTGTGGAAAAAATTCGCCAACACAATGCTCAACAACGCTTCTGGAAAGGATAAAGCTCATAGGTGTGATGGCACCACATTCAGATTTTCTTTTAGCTATTCCCAATTCCTTCCTGGGCACTCAACTCAACCCATTGGCCATTCGAATTGGTTTAGCTCTCCGCTTAGCCGCCCCAATACTCACCGAACATAGGTGCATTTGCGGCAGGGCGTCAGCTGATCAATTTGGACTACATGGTCTCGTCTGTCATACATCAGAAGGGAAGTATGCCAGACATGAGAAGATCAACGACCTCATCAAGAGAAGTCTCGCTACAGCCTGTTGCCTGGCAGAACGGGAACCTCAAGTACCTAGGTCTGACGGAAGCCAAAAGCGTCAAGATGGAGTCACCATGCTATCCTGGAAGAATGGTACGCGGATTGCATGGGACCACACCTGTGCCTCTACGTTGCCTGACACCAACTTGCCATACTCTGAAGCACAATGGGGTGGGGCCGCCAGTATAAAAGAGACCCAGACGACTAACAAACACAGGCTGCCACCTTGCTATAACTTCGTCCCAGTAGGGTCAGAGCATGGGGCACGTGTGCTCTAAAATTCCCGAAAGGTTTAGGTGAAAAACTCATCAAAGAAACCAAGGACCCCAGAGCGGCCAGCTTCCCCTTTCAGAGACTCTGTGTTGCGATCCAAAGAGTAAATGCCTGCAGCATCCTGGTCACACGGCCCACTGTCGGGGCGCTGAACAAAGTATCAAGACGCAGACCCTGAGATGTCTTTTATGTTGTTCGCCTTCTTGTGTCTTTGCTAATGTATTTTGTTACTGAACTAATTATATATATATATATTTTTATATTATATATATATATATTTTATAATATTATATATATATATATATATATATATATATATAATGTATGTCGTGCCGAATAGGTAAAACTTGCTATTTTGGCTTAAACAGCAACGCTCTTCTTGCCGAATATGGAAAGCGAAAATCTGTGTATGCAATAATTTCGCAAAAATAATTCTGAACCTAACGAACAAAAAAAAATATTTCATTGTGTTCATTATTAAATTATTGTAAACTTTTCTAAAATATATTTAGT